CACATACACACACATACACACATACACACACATACACACACACACATACACACACATACACACACATACACACACATACACACACATACACACACATACACACACATACACACACATACACATACACACACATACACACATACACACACATACACACACATACACACACATACACACACATACACACATACACACACATACACACACATACACACACATACACACACATACACACACATACACACACATACACACACATACACACACATACACACACATACACACACATACACACACATACGCGTGCATGCAGTTTGTACCTGGCCAGCCGTGGCCAGGCGGTGGTCATCCATAAGGTCGTGGATGGCTAATACATGCCAACTCGTTGGATACGCTACTGGTCTGTGCGGACAAATACATGAGATAAAAACCCGGGCAGTCAGGATCCAAATGACAAATATTATGGTGAGCGAGGAAGGATATGGCGATTGTGTTGATGAGCGAGAGAGGAATGGCAAACGCTGTAGATGGTATGCGTTATAACTAGACGGAGGACCCTATGTCGCCTATTCGATAGTACAGTACGAACTAGAGAGGGCCTGGCTTTCCGAACAGCGGATCGACTGCAGATCAGCTGACATTTGGGGGGTGGAGAGAGAAAGAGAGAGAGAGAGAGAGAGAGAGAGAGAGAGAGAGACAGAGGAAGAGACACAGAGAGAGAAGATTCGGGTATATGCACTGTCGAAAGCCAGAGGCACATAGAGGGAGGCTAAGTTGGAAATCACCCACCCCACTCTCCCATGGGAACAACCCGGATGGTTCCACTTGCATCGGCCGGGGTGCGTCCGTCTGTCTGTCTGTTTGTCTGTCTGTCTCTCTGTCTGTTTGTCTGTCTGTCTGTTTGTCTGTCTGCCTGTCTGACGGCGTGCTGGCGCGGAGTGTAGAGATAGGGTTGGGAGCGGTGGAGCCAAGGTCATCTGTAGCAGCTGTACAAGTACGGCACACATATCGCCTACAAATACGCACTACGGTGCTCTCACCAGCATCCTAAGAGGCCCTTTCAGCGGCAGCTAGTGCATCATCAGGGAGCAGGCCGTACTGTATAGTTCATGGCCCCCTGGCTTTGACGGACACCCCGGCATTAGTGCGGAACTTTTGTAACTTGTAACGCAAGGCACATCAATTGCATGTGTTCAAGTGGCCCAGAAACCTCCCACTCTGTAACAACATTATAACAACGGTTACATCAATCACCCAACGGACAATGCCCTTTACGATGAAAACAAGGGAACGTGGGACGATCACACATAGCAGACAATTTAGAAGCCAGGCAAGGTAGGGGAGTTCCGGCGAACAAACTCAGGAACGCCATTTTCGTCGTCAGGGGGTTTCACGGCAGGACGTAGTAGCAGCGAAGAGGGACGGACGGCGGGGAAGCGTGTTGTGGCGATGCAGTGGCACGAGAACTGAAATGTTTCTGTTGCGCTGGACTGCGTAGCGAACGGTGTAGCGGACTGGGGACAATTTTCGTACGCGACTTTCCGTAGTGGGTGAGGATCGTTTTGGTAAGAAATACCCCGGGAGCCAGTGATGGGTGTGGTGGGAAAGTTTAGGAGTTAGCCTGAGGTAGCCAGAGTCTTATGTTGGTGGGGAAGGCGTAACTAGGATTAAGCGAACGCAAAGTACCGTACCGTTAACTGAACTGCGTTGCCAATTTCGCGAGTTGTAACAAACGACCAAGCCCAATCGCTTTTGAAGATCACATATTTGACAATTCGTGCGCGCTTTAAACTCCGAACGCATTTCTTGCTGCACCGCTGCCGTTTATTGTAAAAATGAACAAGGACAACGCCGCTCGTGTTGCTCGCCCGCTCAAGGCCGCTCATATGGTGGTGAGCTCTTTAACTTCAGAGATGCCAATTATAATAAGTCCGACAGCATTGAAATATTTTAACCAGTACTGCTGGATCGTACTCAGGGGTGAAGGCAGGTTCTTGATAATAAAGCTGCATAGTTACGAAGGTATTGCGGACTATAGCTGAACGTTGGATCAGACCTTAAAACGATTTCCAGCACAGCTATGCTTGAGTCGGAGATGCGCCAACACGCGAGTTTTGGCTGCTGTTTAGGCACGCCAGGGTGTACGCACTCGAGTCCACCCTGCCCTGTTGTGTTCAGGGACGCAATAGTTAAATGTCAATTTATAGCACATAGATAAAATTTCAGGTTAGGTGAAAATAAAAATTTACATTATGGCATGTTTCTTGCTTGTTGCGACGAGGAAGAGGATAGAACGCACGTCTGGTTGTAATGGCAAAGGAAACACAGGAAACTCTAAAAGCGACTGAAAGGCTTTTGCGTGCCGTACCGCAGTCTATCTTTCCCCGAACCCGCTGTTATGCACTTGGGAAATGATAATAATCATGCGAGATCACAAGATAGAGGTCTCTGCAAGCTAGAAACGACGGAGCAACGTTTACAATGCTCTGCACAATGTCTTTTGGTTGTTTCTCCACTTCTGGATAGTAAACAGGACAAGGCTTGAATGGGTTTTGATTTGCGTTTGAGCTGAGTTGGAGTAACCGTGGACTTACTGACTTTACTGTTATTCGTAACAAGGGAACTAGACCAGAGGCCGAGGAGGCCATCCGCAGTACCGCTCTGTCCTAAGCAAGTTTTCCTTAAAAACTCACAGGGGTGCTGCGCTTATACATCATGTCAACACTTGCTTTGCCCACATCCCTGCATCTTTTAGAGCGACTCCATGGGAGCAGCGCCGCGCCGGTTTTGGTGGTTGCACATAAGGGCGACGTCATAAGCGTTCGTAGGGAGAATGATAACTTCGACGGTCAAGGAAGCGCCTGGATCGCCGGCAACATTATGGAAGTACAGGTTGCCGCTGTATGGGCGAATTCGGTTGCCACTCAACAGCTGAACGGAAACATACAAGCAGCCCTGGACAACTTGCTCTCCTTGGACGCTGGCTTTTGTACCTTTGTCCACCAGCACCTCCAAAACCTGCGAGCCGGGGAGCAACACGCCAGCTTACACGTCATTCCCAACACCTGCCGCCTCGCCCTCAACCTCGGGGACGCCCGCGCTGGCTTGTCACAACCCAACCATCCCACATCAACGATAGAGGTATCCGCAACAGCTTGCGTCCTGCAGCCCTCATGCCCGACGGCAAAAGAAGCACCAGCACCAGCTTCCACCGACGACCCCACACCAGCAGCCTCCGTGTTCCTCGCGTGCTGCCACTTTCTCCCCCTCCCCCGGCCCCGCAGCAGGCACGTCCCCTCACCCAGTGAAACCTTGACCCCAAACCTCCTCCACCACCACATCCACGTCCACAAACAGCTGCGTTTCTCCCCACCGCACCACAGCAGCCAGCAAACCCCTGCACCCCCGCCCCCGCCCCCGGCTACTCCCCCAGCCATCATCACAGCGGCGAGCCCGCAGGACCCTCGCTTTTGCCAACCACCCGAACAGAAGCACCAGGATTTCCAGCAGTGCCAGCAGCTGCACCAGCCAGACGCACCTCTGCCAGCACTGCTGCTGCAGTTCCGCCAAGTACAGTCCAGCAGCCCTGGTCAATACATGCCAGAAGGCTGGCACCCACAGCACCTTCCCCATCCTCATCCTCAACAACACCAGCATCAACATAAACATCTTCAACATCAGCACAGTCGGAACACACACCAAGCGGGGGTCCCTCTGACTGCAGAGCAAGACGTGCCGCCGCTGCTGAAGCCCCAAAATCCGCCACCACCACCGCCATCGAACCAACCACTGTCACTCCCCAGTCCACCTGCATCTCCATTGGCCCCAGACAGCGCCACTAGCGCCACAGACACTGCAGCGCCACCCGTCGCCACCGCAGCCACGACGGCCTGCCCGCCTGAAGACCGCCTGCTATCAGCGGCTACTGCCGCCGCCCTGTCGCCTGATGACCAGACTGCTACAGCCGCAAATGCTATAACCGCAAAACATGTCGCTACCAAATGCCTGCGCCGAGGACTCAGTGCCGTCTGTGGCGTTGGTGCGTGCCCTTCTACTGCTGTTGCTGCTGCTGCTGCGTCCAGTGGCGGTATGATGACTGCTGCTGCTGCTGCTGCTGCTGCCACCGGCACTGCCGCTACAGCCGTTGCTGCTGCACCGTCTATCTGGCCCGCCGGCTGGCCGCCCCCTGGCGCCGCTGGGGCGTGGCACCGCAGCTGTCTTGTGCTGTCGGCGCTGCCCGCGTGTGTGACCATCTTTGACCGGGAAGGCCAAGTGCTGTTTCAGGTGCGTGTATATGTGTGTGTACATGTATGCATGTGCGTATGTGCGTACACTTTTGTGCGTATGGTGCTTATATACGTATGATTAACATACATTCGTATCAACTGCATTGCCGTGTAGAAACAAGTAGAAAAGATGATTCGATGATGCAGGTGGTGGCAGAAAATGAGTTTTTTAGGGGGCCGTCCAGTGTTATATTTTGGTAATATATTATTTGGTAATATATAATATAATATTATATATTATTAAATTATATTATATATATATATATTTGGTGACAAATATTTGGTAATATATATTTGGTAATATTTTTGGGAATAAATGGGGGTCTGAGCCTGGAAGAAATGGAATCGTTGGTCAGTTGGCAGTACTGGTTCATTACTTCGGCCATAAGTCGCCCCAAATGCCTTCTGCACATATAAAGCTGAACATTTGGAGCTTATACACTATTTATATATAAAATGTTTTGATGATATCACCATGAGACGGCCCGCTGTTGCATTCAACTTAGGTCAACGGGGCATTCGTTCATTCTTGACCAAAGCAAACGGCTCAGAAACTCCGCAGACGCAATGCAAGCTGGGGGCAGACCGTTGTTTACAGCACACCGTACGGCCTTTGAGGGGGGGGTCGGGGGGGGGGCGCAGCCCCCTGCGACTGTACAAATAGGAATTGTAACCGCAAGAAACACCCAGTTTATTACTCTAGGGTATTAGGCCCAAAACGAAAAAAAATACTGGGGCCGTCACCGTCACCAAAATAATTTCCCAAACCCACTTTTTGGTAAATGGATAATAATGTGTATGGGAAAATAGAAACATCACGTAAATGGATGCAAAAGCGGGCTTTTATGTACTTTTGTGTAATTTACTGGGCCGCGGGGAAGATGTTGGTGTGTTTTCCTATCCGGCCTGGCTTAAACAGCTTCCCCTGGCCCCTTCCCCTCCACGCCGCTCATTCCGTTAATTCCGTACCATTACACCCAGTCTCCCCAACCACAACCTCTCTTCCCGACTGGTAAAGCCCTAAAACCCTTCCCCCTCCCCCTGGCCTTTCCCGTACATACATACATACATACATACACACATACATACATACATACAAATCCCCCCGGCCAGAATGCTGCCAGCATCGACTACTTTGGTGTCCGATCAATTGAGCTCCGTTCCAACGACGTCTGGTCAAGGGCACCGGCGGCTGCGGCTATGAGCACGGCACCGCCGCGGGCCGGTACGGCGGGGACCGTAGGGCTTTCCCATGGCAGCATGTGGCCGATCTCCGTTTGTACATCCCACCCCTCAACAAACACCATCACAGCGTCAAGCCGCCCCTTGAAGCCCGTGGGCCGATCGCCAGCTTCCCGCGGCCTACTCAGCAAGCTACTCTCCCTAGGAGTGAGTACCTGGCGGAGAAGCGCAGCTGACGGCGTCAGCGGCGCCGCTGGCAGAAATGGGTTGAAGGATGAGGAGCGTTGGTCGTCACCGCGATCAGCGGCGTTTGCTGCTACCGGGGTGACGGCGCCGGCGGCGCCAGACGCGGCTGATGTTCTTGGTGACATGGCTGGGGCCCGTCTGAGGTGTACGGGAGGGGCATGTGGGGGAGTGGATTCCTTTCGAACGCTGCTGACGCTGTTTGCGTTTGAGGGTGCGAAGCTGGCGGAGCTATGGGCCGCGACTGAAATGGAAGGCGGCACGTGGCAAGGTGCGTGGGTACGAGGATTTTTATTGCGTGTTTACGCGCGGGCTTATACGTGTGCGCACGGCATTGCGAGCGTACAGAAAAGGCTGGGTTTCGTATCATATATGCAACCCTAAGTCCTGCGCGCAGGGCATGTAGTAGGGCTGCAGTGTGTATCTACGTGTATGTGCGTGCACGGGTGTGTTTGCACATACACACATACATACACACATACATACACACATACATACACACATACATACACACATGCGTACTATCGTGGCGGAAGTCCCCCTTTTCAGTTGTAGTTAGTTTTCTCTCGGAGGTCTCCTGGGAGGCGGCCAGGAGGCAGAACAGGCGCGCTGAGCCCGCGCGAGCTGGAGAGGACGTCAACATCCCCACTCCACTCCACTCCACTCCACTCCACTCCATGTCACATAATGGCTATTGACCGTCCATGGCCCCCCCGGCTTTTACCATCGGTGCGGGATTTGTAATTTCTAACACACACACACACACATCGCACCTTTACCTGTCTCGTCCTTACGCGCTCAGTAAATTATTGTCGTCCGTGACAACACTGCTCTATGTGTACCTGCCGTACAGCTCGCAACTGTGCGCCTGGGTGTAAGTAAGTGATGTCCTCTCCCACCCCCGCCCGACACTCTCTCTCTCTCTCTCTCTCGCACACACACACACACACACACACGCGCGCGCCCAGGCACACCCATAATGCGCACATGACCTGCCCTCTGACCCATTTACATACATACATACATACATACATACATACATACATACATACATACATACATACATACATACATACATACATACATACATACATACATACATACATACATACATACATACATACATACATACATACATACATACTACATACATACTTATTTACATGATGCCCCCGTCCAGGCATGGTCCGAGTTCCCAAGGCGCTCAGACCGGAGCCCCTCAGCACTGAACCGGGGTCCATCGCTGCCACTGAGAGCGCTTCATACCCCCCCAGGGCAGTTGGGGTGGGAGAACCGCTTTCACTTACATACATACATGCATATCACATAGAGACAGAAACGGACATATGCACACAACGCGCAACGCGCGCACACACACATTTTGACACCTACATACACATATATCATCATCTTCATCGCAGCCATCATTACATCACATCACATCAAGTGAAACTAGTCGTGTCTGTGTCATCCCCTCGCCAGTTCCGGCCCCCGCAGCACAGGTAATCCAAAACACATGGGTAACATCTTCGCGGCGTTTGGAAACATAATTCTCGTCGAACAGCCACTTTCCACTTACTATAAGTGACATACATGTTTAATAGTTGAATACATACATATACACGGAACACACACACACACACACACACGCACAGACACAGACACATACAGATAAAGTCTAGGAAATCTCACCTCTGAGCGGCGCCATTATCTCAACTGATGTCGAAACGGTGGCACTTGATGCCTTTGCGAAGGAGACCTCCCACCCGACCTCCCACCCTTCCCTGGATTCATTCATCACAGAGGGGTAATGACGGCGCCCATCATGGTGGAGATGGCCGGGCTGCCAATCAGCACACAGCAACAACAACATCAACCGCAGCAGCAACAACAGCAACAACAGCAGCCAGGTTTCAAGCAGGACCGGCCGCATCGGCCCCCGGGCCCAGAGGCGGCACCGCAGGCGTGCGGCAGGTAGCAGCTGCGACAGCGGCGGAGGCAGCGGAGGCAGCGGAGGCGGTGTCAGGCACGCCTGTGGATATCGGCCTCGCAACTGACAGCATCACGGGTGTGAAGAGCGCAGGAGGGAGGGAGGTCATCAGCTCGCCGGCGCCGCCGCGGCAGATGTGGCCGTGCGACACGCAAGACGGGGTTGCGGCCGCGGCCGCGGCGCATGGCGCCGAGCGGACAAGTCTCGTACGCCGCGTACCCTCCTCGCCTGCGAGAACTAATCGTAGCTCTAACCTAACCGCACGCCGGGTGCATCCCACGCCGTCGTCGCTGACGACGACGGCATCGCCATCGCTGCCTGCGCCGGTGGGTGGCGGTGGAAATGACGGCGGCGGCGGCGGCGGCTCCGCTGCCTCCATCGGAGCCGCCGCGGATCTCAGTTCCCGCGATGTTCTGCAGCTTGCCCGGGTCCAGGGTTCTACGAGCTGCGGGGTGGACAGCGACAGCGTCTTCGTAGCCGTGCCAACGGGGGAGCTGTCGGTCCAATCCAACTATTCAAATTTGAATTTAAAACATTCGGGTTCCGATGCCTTCAGCGATGCTGCTGCCAGGAGGAAGGCAATGCTGAGTGGAGCAATGGCGGCGGCGGCGCCGGCGAGTGCGAGGGCAGGGAGTGCTGCCGCCGACGGCAGCGGCGACTGTACGAAAGTATCCAGACATCCACGTGCTATATCCAGCGGCCGGCAATTCAGTAGCTTTGTCAGTGCCGTACCCTCAACACCTTCAGTAGCACAGGCGGCGGCGGCGGAGCGGAACACCACTGGTCGCCGTACAGGAGCGCGTGACGGCGTTGCTGCAACGCTCGTACAGCGTTCCGCGGCCAGCGTGGGTAGCAACAGCTGGGCTTTGGTTGGCGCCTCCGCCGCTGCCTCCGCCTCCGCTGCCGCGTCGTGCGTTGCGGATTCCCAACGATCGGCCTTCACGTCGTCGGTGGCCGCGGCAGCGGCCTCCGCGCCCAGGGGGCCCTATGCCATTTCCGCGATGTACCACCACCACCAACAACAACAACAGCAACAGCGACAACAACCACCACAGCGCAGTAGCAGCTCCCGGGCCTTGTCCCTATCAGCCGCGATTTTCCAGTCATTGGGAGTGGGGCTGCGGCGACTGGGTCGGGCTCGCAGCGGAGCTACCCGCGGACAGAGCGACGGCACTGCTGTACAGCTGTCGTACTCGTCGTTTTGCAACGCCGCCGGCACGCCGGCTGCTTGGGGTCCGCTCGGCTCTTCCCTTGCTGCAGCCCGGCACGCGGCTGCGGCGGCGGCGGCGACGGCGGCCAATCCTGTTGTGGCGGACATGGCGGTAGCGGCAGGTGACGGGCGACGGGCTATGTCGCCGCCGCCGTTGCCTTCGCCGCTGTGGTCGCAGCGCGAGTTTCAGTTGGGCGGCGCGGCTGCAGCGGCGGCGGAGGCGACGGCCGCCAGGGCGCATTGGACCCCCCAGCGACGGAGCCACGGGAGTGCGGCATCTCGGCGGTGGGCTTCCGTATACACGCTAAACACCAGTACTTGGCAGGTACGTCTGTGCTTACATACGTACCTCTGGCACATGCATAAGGTTGTACGGATGGTTTGCTGCGGCATTGGCGGGCCGTACGGATGTGGATACGGCCCGATACAAACTCATTCACTCGCCCCTGTTCCGAATCCACTGCGGCACATGACGAATCCTGGCGGTCTTGGATTCTTTTACCGCCTGCCTAGGGAGAGAGAGAGAGAGAGGATACTCCAAAACCCTAACCCATAAGACCGTCGTACTTGTACGGCCGCCCGCCCTCCCCCCACTGGTCATCGTCTCCTTGATGGCGGAATCTTGTATATGGTGGTGGTGGCGGTGTCGTACATGCAGGTGGCGTTCGGCGGAGGTGGCGTCGCCGCCCCATCTGCCAACATTTTGAAATCTGCTACTTCGGAGATCCGCCCACCTCGCCAGGTGTCGCCGTCGCCTTCTGCCACGAAGAGGACGACGACCCGGTCGGGAACGACAGCGATCCAGCGGCCGTCGCCAGGCGGCGGTGGCGGCCGCGGCGGTGCCGACACCTCCACGGCTACGCCTTCCAGCAGCGGCTGCTGCTTAGAGGTCGATCCAGCCGGATCGGGCGGCGCGACGATTTCGTCGTCGGCGGCGGCCCAGGCAACATGGCGCGAGCCGCCGTCGGCGGAGATGCAGGACCTAGATCCTTGTGACGCCGCCGCAGCGGCGGCGCCGGCGGCGGCGGCGCCACCGCCGCTGCTGCAACAACCACCTCCAAAATCCACGAACCGCGATGTCGAGGATCCGTGGCTTACGTCTGCGGCGACAGCGGCGGCGGCGCCGCAGCGGCGCAAAGGTCTGGAGGACGACCCGACGACTGATAAGCTCCCGCCGCTGCCCAGCGACCTGTGTGTACGCCCGGGTTCGGTGTTGTCGAACCGTGGCGGCGGCGGCGGCGGCGGCGGAACTGGCATCGTCAGCCCGCATCCGTGGTCGGCGAAGGGCTCCTTCCTCCTGGCGTATCAGTCGTGTTCCTCAGAGGCGTCGCGAGGCTCGTACCACCGGCAAAGCCTGGAATCCACTCTGGCAGCCGCGTTGGCCTCCAACACCTCGACGATTGACCGGAGTAAACCCGGGGGTCAAGCCGACACCGCAGCCGCGACACCCTCGGTAGCGTCGCCAACTCTCATTAGCTGCGGCGGCGGCGGCGGCGGCGCCGCAGCGCCTACTTCCGCGCCGGCATCGCGCGTCGTGGCTTTTGCAGCGACGTTGCGAACTGCACCCACGCTGCAGAAGAGGGCGACGGCGATGGCGGCAGCGGCAGCGGGTGGTGGTGGCGGCGGCGGCGGCGGCGCTGCAGCAAGGGCCAAGTCGGACCGGCGATCGATGCTACGGCCGCACGCGGGGCCCGGCGGCAGCGGCCGCGCAATGCTGGCGTCGATGTTGCTATCACGAGCGTCGTACAGCCACCCTGACTCTGGGCTTCAACAGTCTGTCGCTCGATCCCCGTCATCGACAACGGATCGGAGTGCGCTATGGGCCGCGGCACGTCACACGACGACGGAAAGCTCGATTTGCGGCGAGGAATGGGATGCTGAGGAGGAGGCGGACGCAGACGATGGCGGCCGCTACCGCCGCCGCCGCCGCGGCATTGCCGCCAGCGCCGCGGCGTCGCCGACATCGGCGGCGACTGTACGGTACAAGATTTCCCAGCTCCGTGCCGCTTCGGAGCAGGCCCCCAGGCTTAGGAGAGCCGTTGATGCCTGCTGCCGTCAGATGCTGCTGGATCAGAAGGCCGCCGCTGCAGGCGCCGCCGCCACCGTCAGCACCGGCCGCGCCGCCACCGTCGCCGTCAGCCCCACAAGGTCATTACGATCATCATCAGCAGCAGTAGCAGCAGCAGCAGTAGTAGCGACAGTTGTTCCCGCGGAAGTGCGTCCCGGTTGTGGAGGGGAGATAGAGGCCTGCCAGGACGACGGCCACGGCGCCGGGGCGGCTTGCGTCGCCGCCATTACTAGCGCTGGCGCTGGCGGCGCAAGGGCCGAGGTTTCGGAAACGGTTGAGGTGGCGTCTGGTTCATCGGCGGGTTCATGGCCGTCAGGCAGGACAAACAGCAAATCAGCCATCGTTGCAGGTGGCAGCAGGGAGCGACAGCAGCAACCGTACGGACGCAGGAGTCGCCGTACAGCTAACGCTAACGCGCGGGGGCTGCTGGGTCTGAACAGCAGCCAGGCTCTAGGGCTGGCGAGCTCGGAAGCCGCAGACGCCGCGGCAGCGGCGATGGTGGCGGCTGCGACGGCCGCCTCCGCCAGCTCCTCCCCCTCCGCCAGCGAGAGCTCCTCCAGTGATTCCTCCGAATGCTGGCATGAGGTCCTGGCAGTTGGTTTGTGTGACCCCGCCTCCGGTCGCCGGGTGGTCGTGGTGATGCAGCGCGATGTGACTGCCAAGGTGGTGGCGGAGAGACACGTGGCGCAGGTTTCGGAGACGGAGCACCGGCTGCTGGAGCAGATCTTCCCGAGACATGGTACGGCAGGGGTATGTGTGTGTGTGTGTGTGCGAGGCAGTGGAGGAAACAGCGTAGGGATGGGGA